CCTGCTGCTGTTGTACAAAGTGCAACTCAGCGAAATAGAGTACACGAAAAATAGATAGATAGGTTAGTTCCCTTCGAAACAGGGGTTAACACACACACACACACTTTTCCCACATTGTTCTGGGCCAGCAACCTTTAGAATCGTGCATTTCACGGACATTAAAGTTTCGGTGCTAGCGCGTGTATCTCAATAAATGAATGTAAAAGTTGAAAAAACTGATAGTTTATAGTTTGTGGACTTTATGACAAGTGTTTCCTGGGTCTGGTCTATGTCCTGTCGATCGTCCCTCTTCTCCGCCAATTAGCTTATTTTTGGGGCTGCGTGAGGGTAAAACACTGTTGAACATGACATAAATGAGTTTGCCATCCTGCGACTGAGGCTTGGTTCAGGTGCTTGAGCACCCACAGGAGGCTGTGTTGCCCTTAGTTGTGTGCTTGTGGAGTCAAGCAGAGCTGTGTGATAGACTTTGATGCTCCTGCTCCCATGTGCAACTATGATGTTCAGGACGGCGAACAGCTCGAGAATGGAGAATTTGTTCCACCTGGGCAGCATTTTCGGCCGCATGATGATCCAGCTGGTGAGCCTGGAGGAGAGCAGGGCGGAGAGCCAGGACAAGAGCCGGGAGTAGGCGAGCCCGAAGGGCCCGAAGGAGATGGATTAGAAGGAGATCCAGGAGCCGCAGGAGCTCACGGCCTGGCTGACGGGGCAAAGTTCCCAGAGCCTGGTGAGGGAGAGCCCGGAGAACCTGGAGAGCCTGGAGAGGGAGAGCCGGGCCTCGAGAATGCGGAGAACCCAGGTGAGCATGGTGAACCCGAGAATCCTGTTCCCGTTGGCCATCCAGGAGTGTATGAGGGTGAACATCCTGAAGGTGCTGAAGATGGAGAGCATCCAGGGGGTCCAGAGGGTGATGCAGAGGGCCTGCCAGGTGTGGATCCTTAGTCACATCGTCTTATGTCTTAAGTAATCTGGTCATGTCAATCATTTTTCAACAGTCGAAGGCTGTAGAGGTTATCATCATCTTACCAACCCAGTTTTTGTCGTCAGGCGATTCCGAACATTTGGGGCACCCCGACGAGGGGCAGCCAGCCGACGGTGATGGCGACGGAGAACCCGGTAGAGAAGGAGGTGACGGGCAGGAATTTCAAGATTTTCAAGAAGTCTCGGAAGGAGGAGTAGGATGAAGGGTTGTGCATGGGGTTTGAAGCGTTCTATCAAACTGGCCCAACCCAATCAATTCGTAGATCCAAAGTGGATCTGAATCTGTTTCGAGAAATGACGATTTCAATTCAATATCCCTGGACCGTAGAAGTTGGCACACTGCCGCTCAGATCGAAAAGGCTGTCCTGGCAACACTGAAAAGCCTAGCATGCATTATTGATTTCTGATGACAGTGATGACAGGTTTTCTTTTCTGGCACAGGGGATCTAAACAGACCTTGGTGAGGTCGAGCTCCTCTGTTGGAAGGATGGAAGAGAACCTGGCAATCTATGGCTGGGTCAGGGCCTTGAACTGTCACCCAAAGTTGGAGAAACAGCGCTCTGCTGCGTCAAAGATAATCCAATCATACAAGCATATACAAGCTCATATTTGAATATATTTGGGACAACTCCTAGAAAGCTTCGGAGTCGTGACGCTTCTAAAGAATCATCCAGCTGGCACCTTTGCAAAAAAAGAACGAAAGCTTAAGGATCTCTCGGCTGCAGACATGGAGGACCTGAAAGTGCGGGCCTAACCAGACAAGCCTCGGTTTGTGGCGAAAGCTCCACAAGCCTCTGAGCTTTGCTAGAGGTCTATCCTGCTGATCGGATGCGCATCTTCCTGCCTGATCCGGAGAATGCACCATAGCTCATCGAGTGGCAGGAGTGGTCTTACAAAGGTTTGTTGACCGTAGGAGTTCCTGCAAGCCCCAAAGGAGTGGCAACACCAACTGCCACTGCATGCATGGAAGCCCTTGGCAGGTCATTCTGAGCCAAACTGGGAATGGGCGAGAGGATTAAACAGGTGCACAAAGGAACGGGTGTTGCAGGAGAGCTTGGAACTGATCTTTCACCCCTTTCCAACTTTGCAAGCGCTGCAAGACGGGAATTTCTCGTTGAGCTGCCATTTTGCAAGGCGTTTGAGCGTTCTTAGACCGAAGGCCTATCAGCTCTGCAGGTAGATTAGCAAGCAATTGAATTGATACAAAAGCTCTCAATTACTCTGATGATTGCCAAAGAAGCACGGGGCTTAAGGCTTAGGGTTTTAGAAAAGAGGTTGGGCTGATGGACTTAGACAACTTAGTGCAGCTGATATAGATTATAGACCAGCTCGAAACCTTTGGCTGATATCATGGCATCCTTGCCTTCCTTCATCCTCGTGCTGCTTTCTTACAATTCGGCCCGTGCAAGCGAGCCTCTGACAGATGTGAAGCAAGCCGTCCAGCCCATTCTCGATGAAATGGCTTCAAGATACAACATGAGTTTCACTTTCGGCTTTGTGAACTCTTCTGGGCGGCTGGGAATGGCTTCAGGAGTCAACAGCATTTGGAGCAAAAGGCCCTTGAAACCAGATGATTTGATTCCACTTGGATCTGTCACAAAGTCTTGGACTGCAGTCATGGTCATGCAGGCAGTTGATGAAGGTATTGTCAAACTAGAGGATAGTGCCTCTAAGTGGATCGATCCAGTTCTTTCTCGTTTGTGGCACAGCAGTATGGAAGCGTTGTGGGGCAAGGCCGCTTTGCGCATTCGAGTCCATGATTTACTAGGCATGACGAGCTGCATCGCTGACTATGACGATTTCTACATGGAACATTTCACTTTTGTGTTTGCAGGTGACGATGCCGGTCCTTTTCTGTATCTAAAGAGTGCAGCCAGGCAAGGCCTCATTTGCACCCCAGACTCCTCGAATCCTCTGGCCGTTTATTCGGGTGCGAACTACATCCTCTTGGGCTTGTTATTGGTTCAAGCACGTGGATTCTTCTCGTGGCAGGACAACGTTCCAACCCTTCCTTGCCCTGTTAATGAAACGTTCAAGGTTCCAACTGTATATTCAGCTGGCAAACTAGCAAACCCCCTAGGTATGTTCAGCACTTGTTCATTGCCGAGCAAAACCTGCAGGATTTGGATCAGATTCGTGTGATTCCAAAGGGGTTGTTTCGGTCAGGCCGATACTCTCACACGAGCTTCTCTCGCCTGGGCAGATGTATACAGTACCCGGGCATTGCGCATCAGTATGCCTGGAAGTCATGGCTTTCACAGAACAATAGCGAAACCTTCTCAGATTTGTTGTACACCTCCTGCCTGAATGGTTGGACAATGGGCAACATTGCAAGCTCTGCCCTTGATTTGGCGACCTTCTTCTTTGATTTGTTCTCCTTACCCAAGGAAAGGGGCGGCTTTTTGACGCGCCAGTCTCTTTTACGAATGCAGCAAATGAAGACGCTCAATGATACCTGGTGTGAGGGCCCCACTGGACCTGGAAGCTGTTCCTATGGAATGGGTCTTTTGCAAGACCAACTTGGCCAGGACTTCTGGGTCTTGCAGGATCCCACGGAAGACCTGTCCAAAATCAAAGTCATTGGGCATCCCGGTGAGGACTGGGGAAGCGGATGCTCACCTTGTGGCTTCAATCGGAGGTCCGAGAGCGGAAAAAACAAGCACAAACTCAAACAATGATCCATGATGCTTTGGTTTGAACATGCAACAAACAAACTGTTTCAAAAAGATAATTTGCAAAGATAAAGACAATACATGACCATACCCTTTCCTGAGGTATGGCTTTGGGATTTGCATGGCCTACACCAGCGTCATTGGCATGAACTGTAGTGGAGATTTCCGTGAGAACTTTCTAGCTGTTCAGACCGCCACCTGCTTGGCCTACGATGCTGTTCTGAAAGTGCTGGGTGCCCCCCGTTTGAATTGCACCAATGCTGCCCTTCCAGATCCGCCACAATTGGTGCAGTGCGCTTGGGACCGCACCAACACCACCGTACCATCACTACCTGCTTGGCAAAGGAGATCGCCTCATATGGTGGTTCCAAGAGTTGAGACATCTGAAATCGTGGTTTGATGATTCACTCAACTAGTGCAATTAGATTGTTTTGCATCTTCCAGCAGCCACTCTGCGATTGACAGTCATCATGGCTGAAAACTCGTGCAGTGCGCATTCAAACAGGTCTCACACTTTGCCCGTGCCAAGTGCAGCGAGCCGTAGAAGATAGCTGTAAGATACCAACCATTCCTACACATACGTTTGGGTTGGAATTACTGAGGTTAAATCCCTTGTGCAGCTGTACTGGCCAACAAGGGCAAGGCATCTCGGCATTACCACTTGGGTAAGCGCCCGAGCAGTCAAAAGGATTTGCTCTGTTGCTTTCATGAGGTGCTGTTGTCCACACGATATCTCACTCTTGCCAATACCATGAATCCATGCACAGCCAGATGTGTAGCTTAGCACTTCAGATCAATTCACTTTGACTTCATGGAAATCACAGACACCTTGCGAGCTGCATTTTGGCATGTGTAGACTCTTGGTGAGGCTGAAGTGGTTTCAAGGCTAGATATGCTGTAGTGACACGGGAACATGGAAAACGGTGTTTGCTGTTGTTTGAGCAGTTTGATCAGTGTGTTTAGGTGGTGGACAACACATGCAATATCAAACAAAACTTGCTCTACAAACTACTTGATTGTTTGCCGCTTCAGCTATGGCAGACACAACGGGTTTGCTGGTAAACGCAGCGGCATGCGCATTTGGTTTTGGTGTTTTGCACTATGTTCTACAACAACTTGCTCAGAAACTCCATCCAAGTGACGGACCCAAAGCTCGACATGAATGGGCAAATTATGTGATTTCTTGTGGTCAGGCTGCAATATCTGGATTTGCAGGAGCTATGGGTTTGTTGTTCGAAGAGCCCTTTGCTAGTGCCTTTTACCAAGCAACCCTGTGGCAGTTCCGTGCATGTTTTTGTGTTTTCCCTTTTCGTTTTTCTGCAGACACAACATGATCTTAAATGTATTCGACACATGTTCAACTACTTGCACGCAGCTCCGCATTCTCTACCAGGTATGTGCATTCTATGCTGACATTGACACTGTTCATGGGCACTCGACAACTTTAAAAGTTGCCATGCCAATCATTCTGGGTTACTTCATTTATGATTTGCTTCTCGCTGCTGTTGGTTGTGGTGCGGAATTCGAAATGCTGATGGTATTGCATCACTGTTTGTGTGTGATCATTTGGCCGATCAGCTATCACTACCAAGCTGGATGCTTCTACGTTTTGTACATGATGGCTGCTGAGCTGAGCACTCCTTTTCTTTGGCTGGTGGTGTATTTTCTACCAAAGTATAAGGTGGCTGGGAGTGCGTACACTGGTCTAGGGCTTCTGATGGTCTTGGTCTTCTTTTCAGTCCGTATTCTTCCTGGACCTGCATTGCTGAAGTCGCTCCTTGCTTCGCAGAGCTACTGGAATGATGTGAATCGTGTCGTTTATGTGCTGGCAATGATAACGTTGCCATTGCCGACTTTGCTTTTTGCATATTGGTTTTCAAGAATTCTGGGTGGGATGTTTGCAGCTCTTACCAGCGACAAGAAGGATACCTGAACAACAGCTGTCAGGTGACAAAGCCAACTGGCAAGACTTGGGAGGCCCTGTCACGACTGTCCTTTGGCTGAAACATTCAAATTGTAGCCAGAGGGCATCATCCAAGCAATTGCCCGGCAAAGTCAAGTACCGAGTGCCTTGGAACGGATGACTCCCCAAGGCATGTGGGTCTGGAGTTTATATGCTTGCGCCACTGTGCCGAAAAGGATGGCGGAACTGTTCAACAGACAAGCTAGCACAAGTTCATGCTTCAACAGCGTGACTGGACAACAGGTCCTTCAAGGCTTCATAAGGGTAAAAAAGTAGTTTTCTGTCATTTCTATGAGGTGAGAAGCGACTGCATATCTCGGCAGCCATTTGGCTAAAGGAGGTCGATTGGAGCAATTGCTTGAGAGCCACCTGCGTTTTCACCCTCCAACAAATGGGCATTTTTGAATGTCCAGTGTCTTTGGAATGTCGACAGGCTGCAGAGGAATGGCTCCAGTCAAAGGATGTTCTAATCCAAGATTTTGGAGCTCGGCTTATGTCTTTGCTGTGCTCTCAAGGTGTTCCGCTTGGACACAGTGAGCATGCTCCACCAAGTGGCTTGATCGCTGAAGAGTTCCAACACTACCCTTGGCAGGTGTCACCCTTGAAGGCAGCTGCTAAGCACAAGCTGTCCCGAGTCCAAGATTCTGCACCAATGCGACAGTTCTTTGCTTTGGAAGATATGGAAAGACTGGGGTTCCGCGTTGGAGTCTTTTGGGTTTCACCTGAGTGGCACTACGTCCCCCATGTTCATGAATCCATCGAACTACATCATCGAGTACAAGGCCGAGGGAAGTATTTGACTGACATGTCCAGTCACATTGAGTTGGCTCCTGGAGATGTTTACGTTCATCTTCCTGACAAGTTGCATGGCATTGAGTCAGAAGCGGAACCTCTTTTGACTTTGTTTGCAGAACGCCTGGTACCAGTGGAACAGGTGCCGCAAGTCATCTCAGACTTGGCTGAGGTTTCTGCTCACTTGGTTACCTCATGGCTGAAGCAGGCAGCAAACCTTTGGTTGCAAGCTGATGAGCCACTGGCTCACCTCTTTGGAAGAGAACTCTTGCCCTTGATCAAACCACGAACGCTTGCTGAGAAGCTCCAAGTTTTCCACGATTCTCCCCCCAATGATATGATTCCACGCCAATTTCGAAGCTGTCCCTGGTACCCCAGTGGCGCCTACACTGCATGCATGGACCCCAAGCTGAAACCTCTAAAGGACTGCATTATGTATCGCGATGGAAATGCAATGTTTGGCTTTTTCTATTTGCCCCCGCGGATCTATTATCCAGCACATCGCCACGAGCCTCTTGAGATCTATCATGTTCTACAAGGGCAGGCTCGCTTCTTCCTCGGCGATTCTGACTCCGTTGATCCGCTCAACTCGACCGTGTCCAGGATGGGGGGCCCTGATTCATTTTGGTTGCATCATCCATACCAAGCACATGGCATGCAAACCCTAGATCAGCCTGTCCTCATTTTGTGGGGTTGGATTGGTAACCTGGAGAACTATGACTTCCATTATACGCCCAACGACGTTTTCCGAGAGGAGGCACGCGCTCCTTTGGCAAAGCTTTGAGATCACCTGCCTCTTTGTCCAGACACATTGCCCAGTTGCTAGCTGCCAGTGACTAGTGCAGCTGCAGGGATTCTAGAAGCTTAGCAAAGCCGGCTGTACCTGGTATTTTGCACACGAGACATCAAGAGAAAATGGGTTCTGCACCTTTTTTGTGTGAGGTCGAGATGTTTGCTTTTACCTTCAACTGCCCTCCCAAAGCATCGAATCGCGAAACACAAGGAATCGCAAACAAGGTCCCAAGGTCAAGTTTACAAGCTGCGCAGATGCTTGTGTTCTTGCGTCACTGGGATGCAAGCAACTTTCAGCTGTCAGGAGTGCTGCTTTGAGTTCACCTGGGCCATGCTATTGATATTGGGTTGCCAAGGTCGAACTTCCAGGCCTCGTGTCCATACCAGGTCTCTGAAATACCACAGGTTATCTGGGTGTTGCAGCATCTTTTCTCAAGCCATCGAGCGGTTAAAGCGGAATGAAACTCACGCAATGCTGGCTACCCCTGTGCCGGAGTAGCGCGACGAACAGATCAGATTTTGATAGATGTTGAATGATTTAGATATATTTCAAGAATGATAGGGAACAACACTGATCAAACATTGACTGTTGGAGTGCAGCAACAAGCTGCCAGCAATGTTGCGATTGTCCGGCTGGCGGATAGGGAGGTAGCATGGGTTATTCACAGAAGTTCAGATCAGCAGCAATTGTTTGACAGAGGCATATCTTTAGATGGGCCGATGCCTCAATTTGTCTTCACTGGAAAGCATGCGCTGACCTCAGTTGCGACCTGGTCGAACCGGGACAGGGTGGCCCGACGACCGTTGGGTAAAGCCCAAAAGTGGGGAAAGGACACTAGGACATGATGGTTCAACCAATTTCAAGTGGCGCGCTAGCAAACACAAAGGAAAACGCTTGACATGGTTTGGCTTGGCGAATTTGTAGACTGACTGGGACCCATCGCCACGTGCGCTGAGGTCGAATACATCCAGTGGGTCCAGCATCCGTCCTCTTTCTCCTCAGCTTCTTGGTTCCAGATCCTTTGTCGGATGAGACAGCTTCACAGGTTTGAGCCATGGATAGCCATGGCAAACACAACCCTTGTTTGTGGCGTGGAACAACTAACCAAACCAGCAGGGCTACTCATCAAAAAAACCTATGTCGGTTTGGGGGTAGGAAACTGCTCTTCATCCAACTGCCACCAAGAACAACCAAGCGACCAAGAACGACCAAGGTGGCAGTACATGGCACCAGCAGGCCTTTTGCGACACCAAGGCCGGGCGGAGGGTCAGTTGTAGGTAGGTTTGAAGCAAGCAAGAAACGCCTCGAGGATCGTACAGGCCCCAAAGAAAGACAGAAAGAACATACTCAGGTGCGGGGTTGATCTTTTTGACACTCCAATCACAATCTGTCAGGAGAGTGAGCAGGGAGCAAGCGCAATCCAGGAAGATCATGATAGCGATGATGATGAGGACCAGTGATTTCAGAGGTCAATTCGCTTCGCTTCGCGGAATTGGCAACACTGTGCCGCTACTTTGACATGCAGATTGCCACATGTCTTGCAGGACTTTGACTTCAACTTTGCCAAGCCACCAGTTGTTTCAGCGCCATTGGATTTGCACTTCTCAGTGCAAGTCAAACCCTCCGAGTCGGGCCGACGTCCGACAGCTGAAATCTGCATGACATCCACCTTTTCCTTGCCAGTTGAGAGAGGCTGGCCTCGTGACCGACTCTCGCCAGAGGAGGTGGCAGAATCCATGGCAGAGGTCCTGGCAGATCGATTACCACGCTTCGCTGCAGAGTTTTGGCAGCTGGAATTGGTAGGCAAGGAGCGCGAGAGAAAACCACCATTCATTTGCAGATTGAAATCATTCCAAGGAGTCTGGATAAGTCTGGTATTAAAGACCTCCAAGCTGAGTGATTCTCACGTTTGCGCACGGATATGCTTCATTTTGTCTCCTTTATCATGATGTGATCAGCCTCACAGGTGCTCCATTGCAGCTTCGGGGATACAAACAATGGCCTTCTGACAAGTTCATTGAGATTCGCCGTTCCTGGCTTTTTTGGGCACTGAGTCAGCCATTGACCTTGCGTCGACTGCCCAGTCAGATTGGATTCGACCTCGGTGAGTCGGGTCGATTGAACATTCTTTGTGATCCTGTTGGAGTGACTGGATTGAACATTCCAAACGATCAAGATGAGAGGATTGACCTACGCCTAACCACGCGTCTGGCCGGCTTTCCAGTCTCTGGGCCCATGTGGGGATGGCTCGGATGCGGGGGCCGATGGTGGTTTGAGCAATTCCGACTACCTGCGGTTCGCCAGCTGTTGAAAGCCTACCATGAAATGGTACACGAACAAATGATGTTGTACTACATTGCTGCTTTGAAGAGCTAAAGAAAAGGGGCGCATGCCGTAGAGATCGTGTTAGGATATGTTAGGATCAGATATTTAAACTGCAAGGGATAGGTATCAAACATAATAAGCATATATAAGCATTATATAAAGATAAAAATAAGCATGCAGCATCAAGAAAACATAACAAAAAGCATCAACAAAAAATTTGGTTCCCTGGTGCCTTGGTCTGCGGTTCCTCCCAGCCCTGGGTTGGTCCTCTGGCCCCAAGCCACCCAACAGAAACCGTAAAGAAGAGAGGCCCCAAGCCAAAGCCAAAGAAATCCTAGAAAGGTGAATAAAGAAGTTTTGCTTTGTTGATGGTTTTTGCTTCTGTTGAGTTTTTCCCAAATCTAACCATTGGGTTGAGGCTGTTGAAACATGCTTAATACCACCTCAGAGAACTCGAATGAGTCACCGTTTCATGTGAAGCAATCGTGTCAACACGGTTTCTGGGATAGGTGATTGTCATACGTTTATGGCCTGGAACCTTGAACAAGAGGATGCCAGACAAACTGATCGACTAAGAAGGATGCTTCCCAAAGCAACACGAGGAAGGTGCCATTCCAAAGTAGCAGACCTTTGTGCGCCACCCGAGGGTAAACTTTAGAGGAGAGAGGAAGGTGCCATTCCAAGGTCGCAAACCTTTTGCCACCTGTGGGTAAAATCTAGTGCCATCCAAGATGGCAGACCTTCTTTGAGCCAATCAGGGTAACATGTAGAGCAGGAAGGTGCCGTTAGAATCTAGAATTTCGAGCAGGGAATCAGGGAGGTCTCACCCCAATGCAGCAACGTGCCGCCTAGGACCACTGCTAAGTTACTATTGCTATTCCCATTAATGTTACTACTACCACTACTACTCCTCCTCCTACTCCTACTATTCCTACTACTCCTACTACGCCTACTACTCCTACTACTGGTACTTGTACTGGCATTGGTACTGGTACTGGTACTGGTACTGGTTCTACTACTACTACTACTACTACTACTACTACTACTATACTACTACTACTACTTCTACTACTACTACTACTACTACTACTACGACCACGACCACGACCACGACCACGACCACGACCACGACCACGACCACGACCACGACCACGAC